GGGAAGCAAGGTGAGTGAGGGGAAGGAGACACAGGTGGGGAGGAGGGGGGGCAGGTGGGGAGGAGGGGAGGACAGGTGGGGAGGGAGGGGAGGGCAGGGGGAGGGGAGGGCAGGTGGGAGGAGGGGAGGGACAGGGGAGGGGAGGACAGGGGGAGGAGGGAGGCAGAGGGGAGGCAGGGGAGGGAGGGGAGGGACAGGGGGAGGGGAGGGGAGGAGCAGGGGAGGGGAGGACAGGTGAGGAGGACAGGTGGGGAGGGGAGGACAGGAGGGGAGGGGGAGGGGAGGCAGGGGAGGAGGGAGGACAGGGAGGGGGAGGACAGGGGGAGGAGGGAGAGACAGGTGGGAGTGAGGGGGAGGACAGGGTGGGAGTGGAGGGGAGGACAGGGGAGTGAGGGGGAGGCAGGTGGGAGTGAGGGGGAGGGACAGGTGGGGAGGGGGAGACAGGTGGGGAGGGAGGGGAGGACAGGGATTGAGGGGAGGGACAGGTGGGGAGGAGGGAGGTGGGTGGGACAAAGGGAGGAGGGGAGGGCAGGGGTGGGGGTGAGGGGAGGGCAGGGAGAAGGAGGACAGGGGAGGGGAGACAGGTGGGCTGAGGGGAGGACAGGGGAGGAGGGAGGACAGGGAGAGGGGAAGGGGAGGAGGGGAGGACAGGTGGGAGGAGGAGGCAGGGGGAGGACAGGTGAGGGGGGAGGACAGGTGGGAGCAGGGAGGACAGGTGGGAGGAGGAGGACAGGTGGGAGGAGGGAGGACAGGTGGAGTGGAGGAGGGAGGGGAGACAGGTGGGAGGAGGGGAGGACAGGTGGGAGTGAGGGAGGACAGGGAGGAGGGGAGGGCAGGTGGGAGGAGGAGGACAGTGGGAGGAGGAGGCAGGTGGGGGGAGGAAGTAGGGAGGAGGGAGGACAGGTGGGAGGAGACAGGTGGGGAGGGAGGACAGGGAGGGGAGGACAGGTGGGAGGAGGGGAGGGGCAGGGAGGGAGGGGAGGACAGGAGGAGGGGAGGCAGGGGGAGGGAGGGGAGGACAGGGGAGTGAGGGGAGGACAGGTGGGGAGGAGGGGAGGACAGGGGGAGGGAGGGGAGGGACAGGGGGAGGGAGGGAGGACAGGTGGGAGGGAGGGGAGGTGGGGGAGGGGAGACAGGTGGGAGGGAGGGGAGGACAGGGACAGGAGGACAGGGAGGGAGGGGGAGGGGTAGGGAGGGAGGGGAGGACAGGGTGGGAGGAGGGCAGGTGGGGGTGGGAGGGGAGGACAGGTGGGGAGAGGGGAGGACAGGGAGGAGGGGAGGACACAGGGTGAGGGAGACAGGTGGGAGTGAGGAGGACAGGTGGGAGGAGGGGAGGGCAGGGGGAGGGGAGACAGGGGAGTGGAGGGGAGGACAGGTGGGATGAGGGGAGGACAGGTTGGAGGAGAGGGGAGGTGGGGGAGGAGGGGGAGGACAGGTGGGAGGAGGGGAGGTGGGGGAGGGGAGGGACAGGGGAGGGGTGGGAGGAGGGAGGAGGAGGGAGGGGCAGGGGGAGGGGAGGGACAGGGGAGGGAGGGGAGGCAGGTGGGGAGAGGGAGGGAGGGGAGAGGGGAGGATGGGAGGAGGACAGCAGGAGGGGCAGGGGAAAGAGGGAGGGCAGGTGGGAGGAGGGGAGGCAGGGAGAGGGGAGGGCAGGTGGGGAGGAGGGGGGAGGGCAGGGGGAGGAGGGAGGACAGGGGGAGGAGGGGGAGGACAGGTGGGGAGGGGAGGGGGCAGGGGGAGTGAGGGGAGGACAGGGGAGTGAGGAGGACAGGGGTGGGAGTGAGGGGAGGGCAGGTGGGGAGGAGGGGAGGACAGGTGGGGAGTGGGGAGACAGGTGGGAGGGAGGGGAGGACAGGTGGGGAGAGGGGAGGACAGGTGGGAGTGAGGGAGGACAGGTGGGGGGTGAGGGGAGGACAAGGGAGGAGGGGAGGACAGGGAGGAAAAAGGAGTGGAGGGGGAGGACAGGTGGGAGTGAGGGGAGACAGGTGGGGAGTGAGGAGGACAGGTGGGAGGAGGGGAGGACAGGGAGGGAGGAGGACAAGTGGGAGGAGGGGAGGGCAGGGGAGGGGAGACAGGGGGAGGAGGAAGGGATGAGGGGAGGACAGGTGGGGAGGGAGGGAGGCAGGTGGGAGGAGGAGGACAGGTGGGAGGGAGGGGAGGACAGGGGAGGAGGGGAGGACAGGTGGGGAGGGAGGGGAGGGCAGGTGGGAGGAGGGGAGGTGGGGAGGAGGGACAGGTGGAGGGAGGGCAGGTGAGGAAAGGGGAGGAGGGGAGGGCAGGAGGGCAGGGGAGTGAGGGGGAGGGGCAGGGAGGAGGGAAGCAGGTGGGGAAGAGGAGGACAGGTGGGAGGAGGGGGGAGGCAGGTGGGGAGGAGGGAGGACAGGTGGAGGAGGGAGCAGGTGAAGGGAGGGGAGGACAGGTGGGGAGGAGGGGGAGCAATAGTAGCAGTAATAGCGCTGCAAGGCATGGTTTAGTGGGGAGGGTTGTGGCCCAGGTAGGTTAGGAAGAGGGTGTTAGGGGTGGGTGGGCGGGGCTGGTGGAGGCGGCGTATATGAGGCGGGGCAGGCAGGGCGCGGCTCACAGTGTGTCGTCATCCCCGCCGTGGTCGCCACACAACACACAGGTAAGACATAGTGACGACACGTGGTGGTGTGTCAGGTACACTCCATTCCACTCATACCTGTCAGCGCACCTCACACACTGACCACAGCCACTCACTCACCCGGTACATGGGGATTGCATATGTACACAAAAGTGAAAAAAGAATTGAAAATGACTATAAATAAAGGCTGTATATGTCCACTACATATGTGGCACCACACTGTAGTTTACGAGCACACCGGATGTAAGCCAACACATATTTCAAAAAGATGAAAATGACAGAGGGAAAAGTGAACGACCAATGACTCAGTGAGGTGGTGACCTGTCATCACCTGGTGAGGGATAGTGTTCACCAGTGACCTGTCATCACCTGGTGACGGATAGTGTTAACCAGTGACCTGTCATCACCTGGTGACGGATAGTGTTAACCAGTGACCTGTCATCACCTGGTGACGGATAGTGTTAACCAGTGACCTGTCATCACCTGGTGAGGGATAGTGTTAACCTGTGACTTGTCATCACCTGGTGAGGGATAGTGTTAACCAGTGACCTGTCATCACCTGGTGAGGGATAGTGTTAACCTGTGACCTGTCATCACCTGGTGAGGGATAGTGTTAACCTGTGACTTGTCATCACCTGGTGAGGGATAGTGTTAACCTGTGACCTGTCATCACCTGGTGGAAGAATAGTGAGGTAATAACCCATGATGGTGAGGAAGATCCGCGGGAATAGTAATATACCAACAGCTGGTGAAGGACAGTGACCTGTGTCAATAAATGGCGGGGGGCAGTAACTGTGGTCTGTGTTGGGTAGGGAGGTGAATTGTTACAGTTCCCCATTAGACCTGTGTAGGGTTCTGAACCACGAAGTCACATTACCAGTGACAGGTCAGTTTGTGTGGGCGTTAATCTCTTGTCATACTTGACCTGTAACCTGTCATAACCTGAGAAGACAAGCATTGAGAAAATGACTCGACTGACCTGAGATAAGAAAAGAGTCAGTGACGCGCGTGACCTGTAACCACTCACTACTGTATGTGGCGGGTAGAGGTATTGTACGATGATCTGACTCAGTGGTGAGTATGCATTGGTAACGGGAATGATATCCGCTACTGATAAAGAAGAACGGTCTGTAGGTGGTAGTGAGGGCACACAGGTCAGCAGGTGGGAGTGAGGGCCCACAGGTCAGCAGGTGGGAGTGAGGGCCCACAGGTCAACAGGTGGTAGTGAGGGCCCACAGGTCAACAGGTGGTAGTGAGGGCCCACAGGTCAACAGGTAGTGAGGCCCACAGGTCAATGAGAGAGGTGATAGTGAGGGCCCACAGGTCAACAGGTGGTAGTGAGGGCCCACAGGTCAACAGGTGGTAGTGAGGCCCAGGTCAACAGGTGGTAGTGAGGGCCCACAGGTCAACAGGTGGTAGTGTGAGGGCCTACAGGTCAACAGGTGGTGTGAGGCCTCACAGGCCAACAGAGGTGGTAGTGAGGCCCACAGGTCAACAGGTGGTGAGGGGCCTACAGGTCAACAGGGTGGTAGTGAGCCCACAGGTCAACAGGTGGTGTGAGGCCCACAGGTCAACAGGTGGTAGTGAGGGCCCACAGGTCAACAGGTGGTAGTGAGGGCCCACAGGTCAACAGGTGGAGGTGAGGGCCCACAGGTCAGCAGGTGGTAGTGAGGGCCCACAGGTCAACAAGTGGTAGTGAGGGCCCACGGGTCAACAGGTTGTAGTGAGGGCCCACAGGTCAACAGGTGGTAGTGAGGGCCCACAGGTCAACAGGTGGTCGCCCTCCCACACTAACAGGTGGTATTACACTTCACTCATTTGGCCTCATCAACATAGCGCACCTCTTAATACACAACCACCACCTGCACTGCCACCACCTACTTTACCATCACTTACTCTACTTTATTACTTTTACTTTTATCCTCTTCACCACCGATCGGCTCGTTAGCTGCTTGGGCGGTCGGCCACGTCTCTGTTACGCACTGTTGGCAAATACTGGGCATGCACCGGCTCCGGAATGTACTTGAACTTGCTCCAGTGCTGGCCAAGTCTGGTATTGAAAGAGCTCACACACGGTGCCGTCACAACACTCTCTGGCAGATTGTTCCACAAGTTCACAGCTCTCACTCCACAAAACTTTGCCCTCACAGTTTTCTGGACTTGCGGCTTCTTCAACCTTGAGCTGTAACCCTTTGTTGGGCGAGCGTCCGCCAGCTCCAGGTATGGATACTCGACTGAGTAGTGCCCCTTGAGATGTTTATATACCTCAATTAGGTCACCTCTTTCCTGTCTGTAGTATAAGCTAGGCAATTGCCGGTGTTCTAATCTCTCTGGGTAGCTGAGGTACTGAAGTGCTGGCACCAGTCTGGACCACTTAAACTACCACCACTTACACTACCACAACTTGCTTTACTACCGCCACTTACACAACAACCACCTACATTACCACCATGTACAGTTCGCTCCCGTGGTGAAATTGAGTCACGGGAATAAGTCTCCAAACAGATTCACCCTGACTGTCACCCGGTGTATTTGTACTGGTTTATCTCATTTGGGGTCGATACTGCTTCAGTTTGGGAAGGAGCGAACTTTTGACCCCGACTGTACTGTACACTATCACCACCTACACGAGGGTGGCGACGGAGTGCTCCCGAGGGTGGCGAGGGAGTGCTCCCCGAGGGTGGCGAGGGAGTGCTCCACGAGGGTGGCGAGGGAGAGCTCCACGAGGGTGGCGAGGGAGAGCTACACGAGGGTGGCGAGGGAGTGTTCCACGAGGGTGGTGAGGGAGTGCTCCACGAGGGTGGCGAGGGAGAGCTCCACGAGGGTGGCGAGGGAGAGCTACACGAGGGTGGCGAGGGAGTGTTCCACGAGGGTGGTGAGGAAGAGCTGCTACGAAGGTGGAAGTGAGGGAGAGCGACACGAGGGGTGGCGAGGGGAGAGCTACACGAGGGTGGCGAGGAAGGTCGCACGAGGGTGGCGAGAAGCAAGTTCCTGAGGGTGGCGAGGGAGAGCTACACGAGGGTGGTGAGAAAGCTACAGAGGGTGGCGTGAGGGAAGTGCTCCACGAGGGTGGCGAGGGAAGAGCTGCTACCTAGCTGCAAGGAGGAAGTACTACGAGGGGTGGCGGGGAGGAAGCCCCCTGGGAGGGTGGCGAGGAGAGCTACAGGAGGGTGGCGACAGGCTCACGAGGGTGGCGAGGGAGAGCTACAGGAGAAGGGCAGTGCTCACGGAGGGTGGCGTGGGAGAGCTACAGGAGGGTGGCGACAGTGCTCACGAGGTGGCGAGGGAGAGCTAAGCAGGAGGGTGGGCGACAGTGCTCTGATGAGGGTGGCGTGGGAGAGCTACAGGAGGGTGGCGACAGTGCCTACGAGGGTGGCGAGGGAGAGCACAGGAGGGTGGCGACAGTGCTCTACGAGGGTGGCGGGGAGGGAGGAGCTACAGGAGGGTGGCGACAGTGCTCCACGAGGGTGGCGTGGGAGAGCTACAGGAGGGTGGCGACAGTGCTCCACGAGGGTGGCGTGGGAGAGCTACAGGAGGGTGGCGACAGTGCTCCACGAGGGTGGCGAGGGAGTGCTCCACGAGGGTGGCGACAGTGCTCCCCCTCGAGCTACAGGAGGGTGGCGACAGTGCTCCACGAGGGTGGCGAGGGAGAGCTACACGGAGGTAGCGAGGAAGTGTTCCACGAGGGTAGCAAGGAAGTGTTCCACGAGGGTAGCGAGGAAGTGTTCCACGAGGGAGTGCTGTGCGGGCTTTTAACTTCACCACTGGGCGCTACTTTTAATATTTTATTTGGTTAACGCTAGACGATGTTAGTCAGCAGCGAGAGACTCCGCGAGTCGTGTACTACACCATTAAACAAACCATTACATAAGGCGTTTATTGTAAGGCGTTTTAAGAAGCACGGAATTGCTAAAGGCGTTAGCTTTCCTGGACTGTCATTAGAAAATACGACATTCCACTGCGTCTTGGGAAAGTCTTCGAGGTAGTAGATAATGACGAAAATTACGATGTTATTTACTTAGACTTTAGCAAAGCATTTGACAGGGTACCGCATCAGAGGCTTCTGAGAAAAGTTAAGGCTCATGGTATCGAGGGGAAAGTTTGAAATTGGATAAAATCATGGCTCACCGATAGAACGCAGAGGGTCAGCGTAGATGGTGTTAAATCTGAGTGGGGCTGTGTAACCAGTGGGGTTCCCCAGGAGTCAGTACTAGGCCCACTCTTGTTCATAATCTACATAAACGATCTAGATACTGGGATCAGCAGTGACATAAGCAAGTTTACGGATGACACCAAAATAGGGCGGCAGATTAATTCAGGGCAAGGGTGCAAATGCACTACAGGAGGATCTAAATAAACTGCAGGGGTGGTCTGAAAAATGGCAAATGAAATTCAACACGAACAAGTGCAGCATACTTAATATTGGAAGAACAAATACTGTCAATGTATACAGCCTAAACAACATCAACCTAGAGAAGTCGATTTGTGAAAAAGACCTTGGGGTATTTGTAAGCCCGGACCTACGGCCTAGAAAACAGTGCGTTAATGTTCGAAATAAGGCAAACAGAGTATTGGGTTTTATATCCAGAAGTGTAAGTAATTTAGAGTGCAGAGGTCTTATTGCAACTATATCTTGCGCTAGTCAGGCCGCACCTCGATTATGCAGCGAAAAATGACGAAAATGATTCCAAGACTTAGAAACCTTCCATATCAGGATAGGTTAAAGAAACTAAACTTGCATTCCCTAGAAAGACGAAGAGTGCGGGGAGATATGATAGAAGTATTTAAGTGGGTGAAAGGAATCAATAAAGGGGATATAGATAAAGTTCTTATAATATCCGAGCAGGATAGGACTCGGAGCAACGGATTTCTGTTGGATAAGTTTAGGTTTAGGAGGGAGATAGGAAGGAACTGGTTCACAAATAGGGTGGTGGACGAGTGGAACAAGCTTAGCAACTTTGTAGTAAGTGCTGGAACGCTGGAAAGTTTCAAAAGGAGGCTGGATAGATTCATGGATGATAGAGAGTGGCAGTAACTCTCGACAGGAGCTGCCATGCACAGGCCAACCTGCCTATTGCAGACTCCTTATGTTCTTATGTTCTTAACCGTTGTACAATACAGTCTTCCGAAAACAATGAAATTAGGAGAACTGTTATTTGGACACAATACGGAAAGAAATAGTGAATAAAATATATTGAAAAGTATGGAAAAAGGACAAAAAAGTAAAAAAAAGACAACCAGTCAACAATAAATAAGAATAACAAAATATCGTGCGCGTTGTTAGGTTGGTGGTCCGTTCTCCAGGGTGGGAGCTTTAAACCACACTACTACACTCTCGTCTCGCTGCTACATTGTTTAAATCTGTTCGCATACATAAACACACAATACGACGAATTTCAGGTTCGCTATGTCTTAATTTTTGCACTTCCAGAACTGCAATAAACTTTTCATCCTTATTTATAGTATCTTATGAGTAGTGATAATAAAGTTTTAATCATATTTGAGTAATTATCAATATTGTTACAGCAAAGTCACCAACGGCTAATGAAATCAGACAGCACCCACGTAAAAAGGGCGGAGCCTAAACAGGTTTCAACTAGGCGCAATCCTTTCATGCCTTATGCTTTGTTTTAGGTCCTATCCAATATACTACCGTATATAGAATTATTTTTATTATTATATCACAGTTTTTTATTGCCTTGAATGCCCCAACTCTTCAATATTAATAAAAATATTCTTCATAAGCGGCCATGATCCGCGTTATTTTCAACGGGAGAAATAGCTGATTGGTTGCAAACTATTTGTGCCGCTTGGGCCCTGCGAAAGGCTAACGCCTCATCGAGGTGTTAGCTAAAGTGTCATGCGCACAAATCAAAAACAGCGTCTGCGCATACAGAATAGATAACGCGTTAGCTATTCCGTGCATCGAAAACGCCTTACAATAACCTCCTATATTGTTTATGTCTGGAAATGTTTCACGGTGCTGATGGCGAGTGTCTACCTTGTCGAGCACAACGAACATCAACACTGTCGTAAGAGTGAAGATGTAAATAACCGTCAGCAAGGACTGCATAATTACGCAGACTCGCCTACAAATTTAGCAATAAAATAACTTGTATGTTTATTTCTGGACACGCTCCACCACGACAGAAAAAAAAAATACTGATCTTAAGAACATAAGAACATAAGAATGGAGGAAACTGCAGCGGGCCTATTGACCCATACTGGGCAGTCCCGTTTATACCCAACCCCTATTGCTCATATGTTTGAAGCTATCCAGCGTATTTGAGTTAATGATGATATTTGGAAACTTGTTCCAGTCATCCACTACTCTGTTTCCAAACCAGTGTTTACCTATTTCACGCCGAAATCTAAATTTGTCTCATTTTAAACCATTGTTACGAGTTCGCTCCTGGTTGGGTAGTTTGAGTACCTTTGTAATGTCCCCTTTGTTTAACCCTGCCTTCCATTTATACACCTCTATCATGTCGCCCCTCGCTCTACGTCTCTCGAGGGAGTGCAAATTAAGATGCTTTAGCCTGTCTCTGTACTCGAGGTTCCTAATGCCGGGGATTAGTCTTGTCATTCTCCTCTGGATTCTTTCCAAGGATTCTATATCCATTCTGTAATACTGTGACCAGAACCGAACTGCCTAATCCAGGTGAGGTTTCACAAGAGCTAGATATAATTTTAAGATGACCTCGCTAGTCTTGTAACTAACACTCCTTTGTATGAACCCAAGAACTTTATTAGCCTTGTTACGAGCAAAAACACATTGTTTACTTGGCTTAAAATTCCTACTTATCATTACTCCTAAATCTCTCTCGCAGTCGGATTCCACAATGGCATCGTTGTTCATCTGGTAACTGGTTTCCCTGTTTACATCTCCTATACTGAGTACTTTACATTTGTCCACATTGAATTTCATCTGCCATTTTTCCGACCATTCGAAAAAATTATTTAGATCTTCCAGTAGTTTTGCAGAGTCCTCGTCAGATTTAATTACACTTCCTATTTTAGTGCCATCAGCAAATTTACTTATGTTGCTGTCTATGCAAATATCTATGTCGTTTATGTATATAATAAATAATGGTCCAAGTACTGGGCCTTGGGGAACTTCACTAGTGACGTTGCTCCAATGAGATTTAGTGCCGTTTATGCTCACCAGCTGTTTCCTGTCCCGTAACCACGCCCTAATTCATTTAAGGATATTACCTTTGATGACATGCGCTTCTACCTTTCTAATTAGTCTTTCGTGGGGGACTCTGTCGAAGGCTTTGCCAAAGTCGAGATATACCACATCATAATTGTGCCCCTCGTCCACCTATTCGAAAACTGATGAAAAGAATGTTAATAGATTAGTTAGACATGAACGCCCGCTTGTGAAGCCATGTTGGGAATCATTGATCAACTTGTGCTTCTCCAGGTGGTTTCGAATAGAGTTTGAAATGATTGATTCTAGTAATTTGCCTACTATTGATGTTAGACTGATTGGGCGGTAGTTAGAAGATAGTGATATAACCCCCCTTCTTGAAAATCGGTATTACATTCGCTATCCTCCAGGATTCTGGGACTACACCTGTTTTTAATGACATGTTAAACAACTTTGCTAAGGGCATACTAAGCTCTTCCTTACATTCCTTTAATACTCTGGCAAATATCTCATCGGGACCAGGTGACTTATTAGGCTTCAGTTTGTCTATTTGCTTATTAGCATCGTTACTAGTCACAACTATCTCGCTTAATTTGTTTTCTTCACTATCTCTGAATAGAGTCGGTGCCTCGGGTACCATGTTTAAATTCTCGGTGGTGAAAACTGTTGAAAAATATTTATTCAGATTATTGCTCATTTCTCCGTCGTTATCAGTTAGCTCGCCGGTATCTGAACGTATTGGTCCAATCTTATCTCGTGTTTTAGTTTGAGACATTTGGTAGAATCCTTTGGGGTTTGTCTTCGCCTTTAGCGAGAAAAATGAGTCCATCTATTGACTGGTGGAAACTTTTCTGGTCTGTGGCGGTGGAGTGTAGTTTGTTACCAGTGATTATGGCGGAACAGTGTGTGTGTGTGTGTGTGTGTGTGTTCAAGCAGGCACGTAAAGTATGTATGCATGTACTTCATTAAGATGTCCGAAAATTAATTGGTCAATTAGCGACACTTACACTCCCAGTCTATATTGGGCGAAGGACAGACTGAGAGGAAGGTCGACACTGCGTGGATTACTTACAGCAATGAGGCCACTTGTTGACGGGCTCACTGCCTCGCCAAGCCTCGGTACCAGTGTGTTAACTACTGTTTCTCTTCATATTACATGACTTTAGAATATTAAAGTATCTATATTTGTGATCTCTTCAAAGTAACCTGTATAATTCTGAAAAGTATACTTTTAATTTCTAATCCAAGTAACGAAATTTTCTGCATAAACTTTCATTCAGATAGAAAAATAGCGTTATATATATATATATATATATATATATATATATATATATATATATATATATATATATATATATATATATATATATATATATATATATATATTATATATATATATGTACCCAACCTTCTCACCTGGTTACAAATCTTACCCTCTGACCTGACTACCGACTGCTGCTGTGCTTTTTGAAGGTTAGTAGGGTCACTACCTAATAACCTGACTATTGTGGACTTGATCTCACCTTCCTCTACTGTATATATATATTTGCCTTGTTTTGTACTTCTCCTTAGTCTGTACTCACCCCTGAAGATGTGAATTACACGAAAGCGCTTGGGAACTTCTTTTTAAAGAAAAGGTGTTTTTAGCCGACATCCATCACACCTGCTAAGTTTTTTAAACAATGTTTAATTTGTTTATGTTTTAAATAGGCTGTTTAAAGACACGTAATGATAATAAGAGCCTCCTTCTCCGTATACTGTATTAATAAAGCCAAAGCATGGAAAGGGCAATTTATCAGTAGTAACCCCCCCACCCCCGGCAAGGGTGAACAGTCCACGGAAAATTTTACGGGATATCAATCAGTATTGCTCGATATTACTCGCTCCCTCAACACCTGACCAATGCCTTGCAACGGATTTAGGAGAGTAGATGAGAGGCCAGGGAGTGTTGGGGAACATGGCCGACCAAGAGCTGATCAAAGCTACCTTTAGGGTCGAGCTGGTCACACATTCAAGAGCCGCACGAGTGGGTGGTCACAGTGGATGATAGGGAAAATTCTTAGTGAGGAAGTCAGCCACTCATTCATAAAGGGTGTTTATAGAACTGCTGAACGTTTCAAATATCCTGTGTTGGTGCTTATATATATATATATATATATATATATATATATATATATATATATATATATATATATATATATATATATATATATATATATATATATACTTACTTAGTTCTTGATTTTCACGAACTTCAATACAGGCACTAATGCTGAAAGGGTGTATATCACTACATTTCAAAGAACTCATTTGCTCCATGGGGAGTCTGTTACACTTATATCTCTCATACTATGGTTCAGGTACTAACTCCTGCTAATTAGGGGACATTTGTAGCTCATTTGGTACATGTCAGCATACCAAACACCTGCAACAGACTTCCGGGTAAAGTGTAAGACGAGAGTTGTGTAAACTGTAGACTGTGAGGGTGATGGGGGGGGGGGATGTGAGGCTTGGCAGATGGGAAGAACGGCCCGCCGGCAGCTTGTGCATGACTCCACATGAATTACTCGCCTCCCCTGCCCCAGCTCGACCTCAGCCACTGTCTTATAGATATATTTATATTATCCTGCTCTTGTCTTCGTCTGCGTCTCGGTCACACATACTGTAAGCGACCAAGACACATTTCTGCAGTTATTGATAAATATTGTAATACACATGCAAGGCAGCTTCTGTTAGGGTCCTATTTTATGTTGAGCTGATATTGAGACTCCGCCGCGGCCATCAGTAAGACCTTGCATGTTTTAATAAAAGTGACTACTCAGAAGTGTGAGGACGGTGTCAGCAGTATCACTGGTGAGTTAAGTTACAGTCAACTGGTATTATTAACGACCAGTAACACGATTCTTGGGTCCTGTGACCATGACTCTGCATAATTCTCTTCTAGATTAGTTAACTCACAAATTGGTCCTCCAGTCTCGACTCTCACTCACCCACGAGTTGACGGTTATGGGAAAACACAAGAAATACACTGCCATGTTCGTTGAGTGATACGGTATATATAATTTGTAATAAAAGTTTAAAGTCCTGCTATAACGTCACTAGTTTCAAACACCGCTGGGCTGCAGTCGAAGGTAGTAGAAAGGATGGCCTCTTCCGACCCCAAATTCCACGTTCAGGTGAATTTTAAGGGTAGACTTTCTCTTTTTCTTTTCCAGTGCATTTACAGAGTATATCAGTACTAGATGGAGATACGAGTCAATTTAGAAGTGATGACATTGTCTGGACTTTGTCTTGATAATGCCTGCTGCTAGCTAAACATGACAACATAGTGCTGTTATTGTTTTGATGATTCACTAATGAATGGATAAAATTTGACTATAACTACCATAAGTATTTTGATGTTTAGATTCGAGATAGTTTATATTGGGTAAATTTTAAGTTATGGTCATCCCTGTACTTAGACATGCAGACTATGTTTATTTCTGATGGTTTGCAAAGTGTTATGAACGATTTTGACCTCCATTTCTATCGGAAATCACTAGTTTTGAGTTACACCCCTCCCCCTTACCGATGTAGGTTAAGCTAACCTTGTACCTCATCATACCCAACTTAACCTAACCTAACATATGATCTGTATTTTCTTATGCGATCGAAAAATATTTTGCGACAGAAATCCTGTAGAGATCACGTGTCTTATTGTTTAAAGTACTTAATTCCATAGTTAGAATCTTAAGGTTCCTCAGATGACCAAAACCAAAATAATATCAATAATGTTTGGAATTTGTTGTATGGGCAGCTAATATCAATTGAATTGGTTAATGTGCTTAGTAATATTTATATATTCAAAATAGTATTACTATGTTGCACAATAAAGCACAATTAATTATCTAATAATATTTATTTACTGAGCCGATCAGCCGAGAAGGTTGGATAACTACAGCTGGCTGACTCCTGCTGGGAAGCTCACCCCAACCAGTGATGTCACAACCAATCGCAGAGCATTTCGCAGTCACGTGACTTTTTAGCAACTTTAACCCTTATTTTTGACACTTTTTGGCCCAATTTTTTTTAAATATCTTTACCATAGTGAATTTAAGCGTTTTCTTTACCCATTGACCTGCCATTTTACGAAAAAATTCCGACCGTCAACTCGTCTATTCTTGCCTTCCTTCCCCCCTCCCCGACCGTTTGCTCACACCAGGAGAGGGGGGGAGGGGGGGAGGGGGGGGGTACTATAAACAATGATTGTGTCTAAATTTACAGAAAAATCGTCTTCACCTTTTAAAAATTTAAATGTTTCAGTGTGTTCTGTACCTACTCTTCTAACAGACTGCGAACGCTACCCGTTATTCAGATATTTATCCAAAGTATTTTATTTACTAGAAATTCTTAATGTTATTTTATATTTACTGGATTAATTATACGCCACATAATTATTACAACAACCTTATTCCAGGGGAGTAAGTACAACAGTAAGATAAGATTCCGTTCATATATCTCGAAGATGATAAGATGTAGCGTCCCTTCTTGCTTATGGCGGCGTATGGCTCACACGCAAGCACCGCCATGACTTCTCCGTCAAACTACAAAAACAATAACACCCTTTATTTAACAAAAATCCTGATGAGGACGAAACTTTGACCAAATTGCTGCTGTAATGACAGATAGAAATTCGGTGCATTAAGTGACTGTAATTAAAGTCATATACTGAAGGGAACAGAGCGTCGAGAACTCTGCATTCCACGGAAGAGTTCTCTAATTTACGTACGTTAAGTCTTTACTACACCGAGGGCCTCACCTGTACCTGTAATCATATTTACAGTTGTTTCCCCCGAGGTATAATATAGTATTTGATTGTAATCGCATATATTTTTGTGTTGACATTTCTATTCAATGTAACTTCAAACAGGGAGGATTAATAATATAAATCAGTCACCAGCCTGTCCCTCTGTCACCAGCCTGTCCCTCAGTCACCAGCCTGTCCCTCAGTCACCAGCCCGTCCCTCTGTCACCAGCCTGTCCCTCAGTCACCAGCCTGTCCCTCAGTCACCAACCTGTCCCTCAGTCACCAGCCTGTCCCTGTCACCAACCTGTCCCTCTGTCACCAGCCTGTCCCTCTGTCACCATCTGTCCCTCAGTCCCACGTCCCTCAGTCACCAACCTGTCCCTCAGTCACCAGCCTGTCCTCTGTCACCATCGTCCCTCAGTCACCAACCTGTCCCTCAGTCACCAGCCTGTCCCTCAGTCAGCCCCGTCCTCTGTCCGTCTGTCCCTCAGTCCCAGCCCGTCCTCAGTCACCAACCTCTGTCACCAGCCTGTCCCTCAGTCACCACCCGGTGTCCCTCGTCACCAGTCACCAGCCTGCCTCAGTCACCAGCCTGTCCTCAGCAGCCGTCCTCTGTCACCAACCTCTGTCACCAGCCTGTCCTCAGTCACCATCCGGTGTCCTCGGTCACAACTCGTCCCTCAGTCACCAGCCTGTCCCTCAGTCACCAGCCTGTCCCTCAGTCACCACCCTGTCCCTCAGTCACCAACCCGTCCTCAGTCACCAGTCCGTCCCTCAGTCACCAGCCTGTCCCTCAGTTACCAACCCGTCCCTCAGTCACCAGCCCGTCCTCAGTCACCAGCCTGTCCCTCAGTCCAACCCGTCCCTCAGTCCCAGCCTGTCCCTCAGTCACAGCCTGTCCCTGTCACCAGCCGTCCCTCAGCACCAGTCCGTCCCTCAGTCACCAGCCTGTCCCTCAGTTACCAGCCTGTCCTCAGTCACCAACCCGTCCCTAAGTCACCAGCCTGTCCCTCAGTCACCAGCCTGTCCCTCAGTTACCAGCCCGTCCCTCAGTCACCAGTCCGTCCCTCAGTCACCAGCCTGTCCCTCAGTCACCAGCCCGTCCCTCAGTCCCAGCCCGTCCCTCAGTCACCAACCTGTCCTCAGTCACCAGCCTGTCCCTCAGTTACCAGCCCGTCCTCAGTCACAGCCGTCCCTCAGTCCTGTCCCCTGTCACCAGCCTGTCCCTCAGTCACCATGTCCCTCAGTCACCAACCTCTGTCACCAGCCCGTCCCTAAGTCACCAGCCTGTCCCTCAGTCACCAACCTGTCCCTCAGTCACCAGCCTGTCCCTCAGTTACCTGTCCCTGTCACCAGCCGTCCTAAGTCACCAGTATGTCCTCAGTTACCAACCGTCCCTCTGTCACCAGCCCGTCCCTAAGTCACCAGCCCGTCCCTCAGTCACCAGCCTGACCCTCAGTTACCAACCTGTCTCTGTCACCAGCCGTCCCTCAGTCACTGCCCGTCCCTCAGTCACCAGCCCGTCCCTCAGTCACCAGCCTGTCCCTCAGTTACCAACCTGTCCTGTCACCAGCCCGTCCCTAAGTCACCAGCCTGTCCCTCAGTTACCAACCGTCCCTCAGTCACCAACCCGTCCCTCAGTCACCACGTCCCTCAGTCACCAGCCCGTCCTAAGTCACCAGCCTGTCCCTCAGTTACCAACCTGTCCCTGTCACCAGCCCGTCCCTCAGTCACCAGCCCGTCCCTCTGTCACCAGCCTGTCCCTCAGTCACCAGCCTGTCCCTCAGTTACCAACCGTCCCTCAGTCACCAGCCCGTCCCTCAGTTACCAACCCGTCCCTCAGTCACCAGCCCGTTCCTCAGTCACCAGCCTGTCCTCAGTTACCACCCGTCCCTCAGTCACCAGCCTGTCCCTCAGTTACCAACCCGTCCTCAGTCACCAACCTGTCCCTCAGTCACCAGCCGTCCTCAGTCACCAGCCCGTCCCTCAGTCACCAACCTGTCCCTCAGTCACCAGCCGTCCCTCAGTCACCAACCTGTCCTGTCACCAGCTCCCTAAGTCACCAGCCTGTCCCTCAGTTACCAACCCGTCCCTCAGTCACCAACCCGTCCCTCAGTCACCAGCCCGTCCCTCAGTCACCAGCCCGTCCCTCAGTCACCAACGTCCCTGTCACGCCCTTCCCAGTCACCAACTGTCCTCAGTCACCAACCCGTCCCTCAGTCACCAGCCTGTCCCTCAGTCACCAACCTGTCCTCAGTCACCAACCCGTCCCTCAGTCACCAAACCGTCCCTCAGTCACCAGCCCGTCCCAGCCCCTCAGTCAACTGTCCCTCAGTCACCAACGTCCCTCAGTCACCAGCCCGTCCCTCAGTCCCCTCACCCTCCTCAGTCACCAGCCCGTCCCTCAGTCACCACCGTCCCTCAGTCACCAACCCGTCCCTCAGTCACCAGCCGTCCCTCCAGTCACCAACACGTCCCTAAGTCACCAGCCTTCCCTCAGTCACCAAACTGTCCCTCAGTCACCAACCCGTCCCTCAGTCACCAGCCTGTCCCTCAGTCACCAACCTGTCCCTCAGTCACCAACCCGTCCCTCAGTCACCAAACCCGTCCCTCAGTCACCAGCCTGTCCCTCAGTCACCAACACGTCCCTAAGTCACCAGCCCTTCCCTCAGTCACCAAGCTTCCCTCAGTCCTGCAGTCCCTCAGTCACCAGCCGTCCCTCAGTCACCAGCCTGTCCCTCAGTTACCAACCCGTCCTCAGTCACCAGCCTGTCCTCAGTCACCAACCTGTCCCTCAGTCACCAAACTGTCCCTCAGTCACCAACCCGTCCCTAAGTCACCAGCCTGTCCCTCAGTTACCAGCCCGTCCTAAGTCACCAGCCTGCCCTCAGTTACCCCTCCCTCAGTCACCAAACTGTCCTCAGTCTGTCCCCAGTCACCAACTGTCCCTCAGTCACCAACCCGTCCCTAAGTCACCAGCCTGTCCCTCAGTCACCAGCCCGTCCCTAAGTCACCAACCTGTCCCTCAGTCACCAACCTGTCCCTCAGTCACCAAACTGTCCCTCAGTCACCAGCCTGTCCCTCAGTCACCAGCCCGTCCTAAGTCACCAGCCTGTCCCATGTCACCAACCTGTCCCTCAGTCACCAAACTGTCCCTCAGTCACCAACCCGTCCCTCAGTCACCAGCCTGTCCCTCAGTCACCAGCCGTCCCTAAGTCACCAGCCTGTCCCTCAGTTACCAACCCGTCCCTCAGTCACCAGCCCGTCCCTCAGTCACCAACCCGTCCCTCAGTCACCAACCTGTCCCTCAGTTACCAACCCGTCCCTCAGTCCGTCCTCTGTCACCAACCTGTCCCTCAGTCACGAACCCGTCCTCAGTCACCAACCCGTCCCTCAGTCACCAACCTGTCCCTCAGTCACCAGCCCGTCCTCAGTTACCACCCGTCCTCAGTCACCAGCTCCCTCAGTCACCAACCTGTCCCTCAGTTACCAACCCGTCCTCAGTTACCAACCCGTCCTCAGTCTTAACCCGTCCTCAGTCACCAACCCGTCCCTCAGTTACCAACCCGTCCCTCAGTCACCAGCCTGTCCCTCAGTCACCAACCCGTCCCTCAGTTACCAGCCCGTCCCTCAGTCACAACCTGTCCCTCAGTCACCAACCCGTCCCTCAGTCACCAACTGTCCCTCAGTCACCAACCCGTCCCTCAGTCACCAACCTGTCCCTCAGTTACCAACCCATCCCTCAGTTACCAACCGTCCCTCAGTCACCAGCCGTCCTCAGTCACCAACTGTCCCTGTCACCTCCCTCAGTCACCAACCTGTCCCTCAGTCACCAACCCGTCCTCAGTTGCAACCATCCCTCAGTCACCAGCCTGTCCTCAGTCACCAACCCGTCCCTCAGTCACCAACCTGTCCTCAGTCCCAACCTGTCCCTCAGTCACCAACCTGTCCTGTCACCAGCCCGTCCCTCAGTCACCAGCCTGTCCCTCAGTTACCAACCCGTCCCTCAGTCACCAACCCGTCCCTCAGTCACCAGCCTGTCCTGTACAGCCCGTCCCTCAGTCACCAGCCTGTCCCTCAGTTACCAACCCGTCCTCAGTCACCAGCCCGTCCCTGTCACCAGCCCGTCCCTCAGTCATAGCCTGTCCTCCAGTCACCAGCCTGTCCCTCAGTTACCAACCCGTCCCTCAGTCACCAACCTGTCCCTCAGTCACCAACCTGTCCTGTCACCAGCCCGTCCTAAGTCACCAGCCTGTCCCTCAGTTACCAGCCGTCCCTCAGTCACCAACCCGTTCCTCAGTCACCAACCCGTCCCTCAGTCACCAACACGTCCCTAAGTCACCAGCCTGTCCCTAAGTCACCAGCCTGTCCCTCAGTTACCAACCCGTCCCTCAGTCACAACCCGTCCCTCAGTCACCAGCCCGTCCCTCAGTCACCAACCGTCCCTCAGTCACCGCCGTCCCTCCAGTCACCAACACGTCTCTAGTCACCAGCCTGTCCTAAGTCACCAGCCCGTCCCTCAGTCACCAACCCGTCCCTCAGTCACCAACCTGTCCCTGTCACCAGCCCGTCCTCAGTCACCAGCCTGTCCCTCAGTTAACAACCCGTCCCTCAGTCACCAACACGTCCCTAAGTCACCAGCCTGTCCCGTCACCAGCCCGTCCCTCAGTCACTAGCCCGTCCCTCTGTCACCAGCCTGTCCCTCAGTCACCAACACGTCCCTCAGTCACCAACCCGTCCCTCAGTCACCAGCCCTTCCTCAGTCACAAACTGTCCCTCAGTCCAATCCGTCCCTCAGTCACCAGCCTGTCCCTCAGTCACCAGCCTGTCCCTCAGTCCCAGCCCGTCCCTCAGTCACCAGCCTGTCCCTCAGTCACCAACCCGTCCCTCAGTCACCAACCCGTCCCTCAGTCACCAGCCTGTCCTCAGTCACTAGCCCGTCCCTCTGTCACCAGCGTGTCCCTCAGTCACCAACCCGTCCCTCAGTCACCAACCGTCCCTCAGTCACCACCCTTCCCTCAGTCACCAACTGTCCCTCAGTCACCAATCCGTCCCTCAGTCACCAGCCTGTCCCTCAGTCACCAAACGTCCCTCAGTCACCAATCCGTCCCTCAGTCACCAGCGCCCTCAGTCTGCATCCCTCAGTCACCAGCCTGTCCTCAGTCACCAGCCTGTCCCTCAGTCACCAACCCGTCCCTCAGTCACCAACCCGTCCCTCAGTCACCAGCCTGTCCCTCAGTCACCAGCCTGTCCCTCAGTCACCGTCCCTCAGTCACCAGCCTGTCCCTCAGTCACCAACCCGTCCCTCAGTCACACCTCCCTCAGTCACCAACCCATCCCTCAGTCACCAGCCTGTTCCTCAGTCACCAGCCATCCCTCAGTCACCAACCTGTCCCTCAGTCCGCGTCCCTCAGTCTGCCCGTCCCTCTGTCACCAGCCCGTCCTCGTAACTCGTCCTCTGTCACCAGCCTGTCCCTCAGTCACCAACCTGTCCCTCAGTCACCAGCCCGTCCCTCAGTCACCAGCCCGTCCCTCTGTCACCAACTCGTCCCTCTGTCACCAGCCTGTCCCTCAGTCACCAGCCTGTCCCTCTGTCACAAACTCGTCCCTCTGTCCAGCCCGTCCCTCAGTCCCGGCCCGTCCCTAAGTCACCAGCCCGTCCTCAGTCACCAGTCCGTCCCTCAGTTACAACCGTCCCTCTGTCACCAGCCCGTCCCTCAGTCACCAACCCGTCCCTCAGTCACCAGCCCGTCCCTCAGTCACCAATCCGTCCCTCATTAACCCGTCCCTCAGTCACCAGCCCGTCCCTCAGTCACCAACGTCCTAGTCACCAACCCGTCCCTCAGTCACCACCGTCCCTCGTCACCAGCCCGTCCTCAGTTACCAACCCGTCCCTCAGTCACCAGCCCGTCCCTCAGTCACCAGCCGTCCCTCAGTCCAGCCGTCCCTCAGTCAGCCCGTCCCTCTGTCACCAGCCTGTCCCTCAGTCACCAGCCCGTCCCTCAGTCACCAGCCCGTCCCTCAGTCACCAAACTGTCCCTCAGTCACCAGTCCGTCCCTCAGTCACCAGTCCGTCCCTCAGTCCAGCCTGTCCCTCAGTCCAGCCTGTCCTCAGTCACCAGCCCGTCCTCTGTCACCAGCCTGTCCCTCAGTCACCAACCTGTCCTCAGTCACCAGCCGTCCCTCAGTCACCAGCCGTCCCTCAGTCACCAGCCCGTCCCTCAGTCACCAAACTGTCCTCGTCACCAGTCCGTCCTCAGTCACCAGCCTGTCCCTCAGTCACCAGCCGTCCTCAGTTACCAACCCGTCCTCAGTCACCAGCCTGTCCCTGTCACCAGCCCGTCCCTCATTCACCAGCCTGTCCCTCAGTCACCAACCTGTCGCTCAGTCACCACCCGTCCTCTGTCACCCAAACTCGTCCCTCTGTCACCAGCCTGTCCCTCAGTCACCAGCCCGTCCCTCAGTTACCAACCCGTCCCTCAGTCACCAGCCTGTCCCATGCCAGCCCGTCCCTCAGTCACCAGCCTGTCCCTCAGTCACCAACCTGTCGCTCAGTCACCAACCGTCCCTGTCACAAACTCGTCCCTCTGTCACCAACCTGTCCCTCAGTCACCAACCCGTCCCTCAGTCACCAGCCCGTCCCTCAGTCACCAGCCCGTCCCTCAGTCACCAGCCCTGCATTTTCGTCATCATCTCACATTTTCAGTAACATTAAGGCTCACGTGTTAAGGCTGTAATGCATTTAAATCAATTCTGAAGACGTGGAGCATCGGAATGACAATAACGGCATCATAATAGCTCCTAAATCCTTCTCACTCAAGCAGCCTCACAAATTTGGTACTGTACTTGTGTGTGTGTGTGTGTGTGTGTGTGTGTGTGTGTGTGTGTGTGTGTGTGTGTGTGTGTGTGTGTGGAATATATATTTAAAGTAGAAGTCTTGATCATAATAGCAGGAGGCACCATGTTATGACGTGAGGACAAACCGAGAGCAAAAGGTCAGGAGATTTTTTGACGGATTTAGTAACAACGTGGGCAATGATCGTGGTACATGTACAGTACATTTTGATATCCTTACGTGACGTATATTAGCTAACTGGAGAAATCGCCGATCTGAGGTGGAGTTTGACAAAGTTAGGAAGATACTGTTGTCATACTTTTCAATCGACGAAAAAAAAGGAAAAATACGGAAAATCAGTAAAAAAAAAAAAAGATTCCAATCGACTGAAAGAAAAACCTGAGCACAGAATTATAGAAGGTAGAAGGACCAGGGAAAAGAGGAGACTAGGATGGATGAATGATATTAAGAACTACAGTTGGTTGCCTAGGAGACGTAAGATCTTAGAGGATTGATAAACTACAGCCAACAATATTTACAGTAGAGGACCTTTGATTGATAACACTTACAAGTTGTCCATAAGAGTATGCCAGAAAACAAGGACTTACAAACTACCGCTATTTTAAGTTGGTCAGTGATGGCAGCACTTAAAACTCAGAATTTAAAGTGTCTCAAATATATGTGTTTTCAATACATTAAGTGCTCGGAGGTGAATAAACTCTGACAGACATTATTTGTGAAGTACAGGGGAATTGTTCTTGAAGAATTAGGTTGTCAAGAAGAACAATAAGGTCATGGCACTCACTCACTCACTCTACGTGACCACGTTTATATCAAATGCTGAGTAAATTTCTACCTTTGGACTGTTTAATATTTATCCTGACAGTGATACAACCGAAAATAGATTCACCAATCACAATCATAATTACATACAGCTTTACTTTACCAAGTATTGCCAGGTGGGGTCGCTGGATCTTTGGCTGACTGTACATAAAATTTTTTGTAAAGTCTGAAGGAGTGTAGAAAATGGACAGGTTTAGCGCCCTCCCTATTATTAAATTTGTGGGTGCGCTCTTGTAATTGGTCGATGCTATTGGTGGGTAGGGTGCGGTGGCCAAGTGGATGCATCACTCATCTCCTGTCTAGGGATGCTGGTTCGCACCCGAGGCACACCATTCCATCTAGCATTCTAACTGTGAATGACTAACACTCTATACATTTAAGAAAGAAAAGGTGGTCGGGCAGTGCGACATACACCTCTCTCAGTAGCCCAACCGAAAAACAGTTTAGGCTGCCGTAACCGCCTCCAAAACGGGCCGTCTGGTGGGGCCACCTTCACTGGTGGGTGTTATTTCTGACCTGTATACCACCCTGACCCAAGTAACCAGTGCGTCTCTGGAGGATGACTCTCTCTCTCTCTCTTTCGCACACACACACACACACACATATACACGCGCGCGCGAGAGAGAGATCTGATTAAGTTAAGAGCGCAATCATGGGATAGGACGAATAGCGCGACCAAGGTGTGGTCCAACTTTAAATTTGATTTCTTGCCAATTTATTCCAATAAAATGCACATTTTACAACGGCCGAAAACATTCACAAGCGGATTGTGGGAAAAACACCTGGACTAACAGCCGCTGTGGGAACCAGTTAGCCGGTGTTGTAGTTGAAAGACACAGCCAAACAGCGGCAGCACTGTGATAGCATTGCATCCTCTACTAGTAATCATCGTGCATGGGCAGCATCGAGGTAATCACGTTATTTTAACAATGGCTAACCAGGCTCACTCCTCCTCTCAGCCAGCTCCAGCCTCGTCCACTCTCACTCAGAGCTACAAAAGTACTTAATAACCATTTTCCTCGTATAAGTTTTAAAACATATAATCTAAAGATCACTAACATTTCCTCGAGAAAGGTCGAACTATAAAATACAACCTCTGGCGGGAAATCATTAATATTCATAACTTTAATAATACTACGACTAAGGCACTATCAAGTATTATAGTTGCTAGTAACAGGTCAAGGAAGGATCCTGGTGGTTAGTGAAGGGGCATGACAATAGCATCCGGGTGGCAGCGGTGGTGGTGATAGTGGTCGCTGGAGCGGTTGGTTGTTACGTAAACCGCAGAAGGAAGTATCGTAACTTAATTAGTGGCCAGGAAGGTTGGGGAGTACACCAATTCATGTTAAAAGTTAAATTAATAACAATGGGAGTTAAATATTAAGCCCCGGGAGCACGTTTACTAAGGATCTAACCTGACATCTTACCTCCAATCATTAACCACACTTCTCCATAATAATATT